CTATTAAACCAACGCAGCAACCTCTATAATAAGCTCCCATGGGCTTATTTCATTGGAGGTGTGACCAGTCTCTTAACGGGACTGCGTCACGGCAGTTTAGTCAGTTTTGTCAGTTCAGTTTTCCCTGTCACTCGATATGAAACTTAACTTAATAAAGAAATAACTTGTAAAACAAATATGCCTTCCGAGTGCGAGTGTTGCAATTCAAGGTTACAAAAACAGAGTTAAACTTTCTGAACCTATCAAGCTGACTATTTTTCAAAAATCCAAACTGCTTAGAGGGCCGCACGTTTATCAGCTTCCTTGTTTGTGTCGGGCGTTTTAATTAACCATTTCACTTGCTTTCTAGAGAAAAAGGTGGAGCTTATGGCAGTGGGGCGAAAATTGGTGGTGGGATATTCTCCTTCTATTCTTACAGGTAACAATCAGCGGGTTATCCCCTTATGACCAAGATTGCTCGGTAAGGATGGATGGATGTTACCCGCGTTTTGATGAAGACGAAAAAAATCGATACCCAGCCATCTTGACCGAACAGGCTTAGTTATTAATGGATTTATTATATCTCCATAAGAAAATGTTTTCTTGACCAAGGGGGATATCTAAATCTCGAGAGGCCCAGAAAAGCACATCTCGCCCGCTCGAGTACCGAATCAAAACATTCGCTTCATTTCAATCAACCGCTTGCAGAGCCGGGCATTAAGTAATTTTCCTTTTTTGAACCTCTTATAGAACCGTTTGTGCCAGTGAAAATACCCTAAAAGTGTCCTGTTCTTGGTAAATAGCAGCGCATGAAATGTGTTGTCTGAACGGGTAGAAAGAAATTGGCCAAGGGTTAATCATTGCTCTTTAAATAAACGTTGGAATTTGTCATTAGAGATCTTTTACGCTGGACTGTTACAATTTAAACTAACTTCTTTACTGAGATGAAAGAGATGTAACACCCCACGTTTAGGGTCGCGGTGTTGTCTCCAATGCTTGCCCTCTGCATAACACCTTCGCATCAAACTTGGTATCAAACCTCGCACTTTTCTTCGTAGATATTAGGTTAAATCTCGCAAGGGAAGACTTGAATTTCAATTTACTTTTGCCAGGGATCCTAACTTTGAAGAAACTTTATCGGCGTTTGAACACTCTGTCCAGTGGGCGGCTGAGGGAAAGTTTACGGAACAAGACATCGAGGAAGCTAAGATTTCTGTGTTGGCGCAAGTAAGTTAGGCGTATACTGCGTTTGTATAACTATTCCTTGGGTACTTACCATTTACATGGGGAAACCGGAAATTCCGGTTGAAAAATGGAATGGCTCATGCCATTTTGTTTGTGAAGCTTCAGAAAATATGGGCTGTGATTTGAGGCGAAGCAGATTTGGATATACTTTGTAGAGGGTCCCATCACGTCAAATTTTATAGTTTTATGTTTTTTTTTAATGCACAATTACCAAGCACCCCTGTTTTCTTGCATAAAATGCTGAGTAGCTCGCCGAATCCAGTTCAGTACAAGTAACGAAGACGCTCGTGGCCTCAAGATTTTAGTAACCTGTCACGAGTAAAACAGTAAGTCACCACCGTCTGGACAAAGCAAAAAATGGCGTCAAATGTTTTTCTGTGGTAGATCTTGTTTCTGGTCGTTATTTACCTACTTATGGCTGATCGTACCTCTTTTTTACCGCCTGTAAGGTTCGGTCAATAAGCGCAAAGCTTTACTTTAACACAAAATTTCTTTTGAACTCCATGCTACTGGTATCGCTCCTTTAAGCGGTCAGCTGTGGTTGCAGATCTTATTTTTTCGTTGATCTCCGTACAGATAAGTTAAAAAATGTTACGTCCACTTGCGAGTTGGCAGAGGGAAAGTGGAGAGGTTCGGGGGGAGGGTAGGGGGAGGAATTCTAAGTAAATGCAAGTGAATGGTGATCTCATACACAGACATTTCCTTTTGATAAGAGCTCCAGTAACTGAACAGTCGTTGCCTGTTTTTCTCTTTCTTCTTTTTAGATTGACCGGCCAGTATCTCCTAGTAACCGAGGTATGCTATACTTCACTCAAGGCGTGACAGATGACATGCGGCAGAAGCAAAAGGACCAGCTTTTTGGTGTAACCAGGGAAGACCTTATTCATGTGGCACGCACGTGAGTATCGTTTTTGTTCGAAGCGCTCGCTGGCACCAGTCTTTTTCTTACTTCGTCTTCTTCCCATTCTTTGCTTTTGATTTGCGGATCTCTAAGGGCGCCTTTGATAATACTGAACAATTGCTTATTAGATGAGCCCGCCTTTTTGGTGCACTATTTCTGCCATCTATCGGAAGTTTGACTTCTCTTGCACATGACAAATCTATTTTCTGCTTAGGTACCTAGCCTCCTCAGATATCCCGAACTCGATTGCGGTGCTGGGGCCTGGAAACAAAATAACAGCCAGAGACAGCTCATGGACAATAAGAAGAGAGAGCCTAACATGAAATCAATGCTCCAGTGTTAGAGCCATGCTGCCCGGGCTGACGGGATTACAAGCGGATCTCAGTGCGCAGGGTCAAGTTATCCATTAGTGCTATTTCGTGGATAAATCTCTATCCAGTGGATAACACAGTTGACTTTGTTACCGCCTCTCCACAGCATAGTAATTTGTCAGGCCCCAGTTGTTCAAAACGAAAGGAGAATAACGTTATATATCTACTGGATAAATCTCTATCCACAAGATAACACAATTGGTTTCCTTAATACTTATCCGTTAAATAGTGATTTATCCGATATATGGGGCTATTCAACGCTTGAACAAACGGGGCCTTGCCTGGTGAATAGCGCCGTCCATCTTTTAAAGGACCAGGGCCAGACCGTTTAAGGTCATTGTCTAACGATTTCAGCAGTGTTTGAAGGCTTTCTTCTAGAACAAAACTGCGTCGCTTTTAATAACTAAATTTCGACAACTTAGAGATAGACTGTCAAGCTACATCTTATGCAAAAAGCATAACATGGCAAAAAAACACTACTCATTTTAACCCGGTTTTAATTTTGCAAGGTTACTTGAGCCCTATATAAAGACTTAGTCTCGCAGCTTGACTTTGTGCCACTGACTACTATTTTAACCCAGGTTCAACAGAGCGTGCTTTATTGGTGGTGTGACGCATGGTTCAACTTTTAAGAATCAGAACTGCCTGCTCCTTGTTTCACGCAACGAATAGTGATTTCACCCCCAACTAATATGCTTGCAATGGAAACGCAACGTTATCGAACGACACGCAGTCGACCACCATTTCCGGGTTTTCTTTGATTGCAATGTGTTTTTAGGGTTTTAAAACAACGCAGACAAATTGTGGCAGAACTCCTTTAATCATCCTTGAACGGTGTAGAAGTAGGATTCTTTGTAGGAATACGGTTGCCTTAAAGCACCTCCCACCACAGTATATGCTGTTCAGGGCAGTAGTAATATACAGGTGCTTAGCCAGTCCATAGACTTGTAGGCCCGGGCTTGCAAATGTTTAGTTTGATCACTCTATCGCTTGTAATAAATTATGCGTTGTTGGGGTGAGGTGAAAAGCTTAAGAGCTCAAAGGGTTGGTGAGGTTAGTGCGCACTAGTCATACGTGCAATTTTCGGGATATGTGGAAATGAAAGTCAGCCAGGCCTACAACTACTCGAAAAGCTGGCTACGCCCCTGATATAGTCTACGCGGACACCGGTCTGGATTCCCAGTTACCGGAAGTTGGAAAATTTCAAGCACTTCAAAGAGTAAAGGAAGACAAAAAAATTGATTAATGCTAACTATTGACGCATATAAAGAACTTCAAATACACCGGTTCTAGGTGCCGTTCGCTTGTTACTTTTTAGTTAAAACAACTATTGAACATAAACTCTAGCCAATACTAATTTTGTTATGCACTGTCCTGTCCAATTTACATTTTGCCCTTTTTCATAAAATCACAAGTACAGCCCTCGCTGAACTTTATAACGTAATTGTTTTGCAAATTGTAAAATACTGACAGATGTAGTTTTAATGCTCATACTAAAAAACACATTTATTGGGGGTGAAGAAGCAAATGTCCGACTTCAAATTCCTCTATGTTGGGCTGCCTGTATATTATTAGGGATAGTCGCTGTTCACATTTACCACGATTTCCGAGCTCGATGCTAACCTGGCAAAACAGCCAACATTCCACGACCCCACTACTGGTTTTCCGCGAAACACATATCATCTTGGGAACGACTGCAGAAACTCCATACTGATGACGTGTCACTACCCAAATCTGGGTACTTCTTCTGATCGGTTGAAGCAAAATAGACCAATCAGAAGCACTACTCAGATCTGGGTAGTGACAACTCATCAGTGTGGAATTTCTGCAGTCGTTTCTCTGACGTCATTTCGCGAGGAAACCAATGGTGGCGTCTCGAAATGTCGGCTGTTTCCTGAGGCTAGTTCAAGCCGGAATTACATTTTGTTCCTTTATACGTGGTTGGCAAGAAAGAGATTGAACTTCGCTGAAATGTGGCAGGTAGCGGTAGTAAAAGGCATGTTTAATATTCAATGTGCAGATCGCGCTAGAAAGTACTTTTTTGATTGGTAAGTTTAGTACGTTTTCTCACCAAACTAGCTTTCTAGAACTGCAACACCCTCAGCGAGGCCTTCTGTTGTCGGATGAGCACAGCCAAGCATTTTCCCACCACTGCTGAAGGTGACAGCAGCGCCAAATCCAGCCACTTCTTGTGCCGTTTGAGAATCCACCTCGGTAATCTGCTGCCCAAATTCCTCTACCTCTCGTAAAACATTCTCGTCGAACGCAAACTTTTCCACTTGGATATCCTGCTGAAAAGAGTGAGGGCTAGAAACAAGAAATATAGGCGATTCGAGGGCTGCCTTCGGACTCATTCCACTGTCCAAAATGCTTGTCAAGTACTGTGGGATAGAGAGCGCATGTGATGGACCCGTACAGGCCATAGCTAACACTGGTATCAGGCCAGTATGGAAAGAAGGCTCCCCCGAAAGGAGACTTTACTGAACACAGAGGACCCCAAGTCCCTATGGGTGTACTCCTTTGAGAGACCTCAACGAAAGGGAGTCCCGGAGGAAATTTCTGAGGAGAAGGAGGTGGCGGAGAAGCAGAAGCAAAAGCTCCAGTTCATTTTCTTCTTCGTCGTCGTCTTCTTTGATAAGGGAATTTATGGAAGCAACGAGTCGCTGCTTTTCGTGGTGAGGTGTTTGTGGCACTGCGTTTATAGGATTTGAATGCCCTTCTGGAACGGTAGGATGTGGTTTTGTGATTTCTCCGTCGTTTGTCGGTGTAAAGTATTCTCCATGAACAGAAGCCTTTGATGAACGTTTCTCCTCATCACTAGGCTGTTCTTCATATATAACTGATTTTACACCAATATGATCTTGGACGCCTTCGTTAGCTTCTTCAAAATTTTCCTTATCCCTGGCAGATGATAGGTGGTTCAGATGAGATCTGACCCGGTTATGCGTTTTGAGGATCACTAGTTTCTGTGGCAGTTCTACTCTCGTGTATTCACGATGTTTTAAGCCCCTCCGTTTGTCCGTAAGTCTCTTGTTGTGCTTTCTAGTCACAGCGACGTCACGTCTGAGCCTTCGACCAAATTCATCGAGGCCACGGAACTCTTCCTCGAAGACAATCACAGGCTGCAGTCCTGAAGGGACTCTCCTTTTGTTTCCCATTTCTTTCAGTAAAGACTTCAGTACGATTCCTGGGCTAGGAAGACTCACTCCCTGTACAAATAATCCTGAGCCCCACGGACTGCTGTCTGTGCCATGCACCAGAGAGCACACATTGCCACCTCTGTCTACTACAACTACTCCAGAAGATCCATGGTCCTGACCTTCCACATCCATCTTAACACTTGTCAGCATTTCTCGCATTAGCTCATTTAGTTCTTTCATGCGCTTCATAGAGCCAATTTTGTCCCACAAGTCCTCTGCTGGTTCTATTAGCCCTCGATGTGAATTGGACAAATGAATGCCAAGGTGTTCCTTGAGAAGGTGCTTTCCATTTGGAACAAAGTGAGCGAAAAATGAAATAAAAGAGCTGAACCGAGTGACAGAAGCAAGCCAAAAAAGCTTCGTAGCATTCGTCAGGTACGAGTCTGTTGAACTGTCAATTCCTGCCAACTCCAACAAGTTCATTTTCTCCAAAAGCTCAGCGCCACCCCATTCGGCGCCTGATGTCAGCACGTGATACCCCTGGTACTGTGTGCTGGCGGGCTCCGGTGACGTCACTTGATATTCAGTAATGTCCTCCATGGTGATGTAACCTTCTTGGCTTTGAACCATCTCTACCATATCCTCTGCCCAGGTTCCTTTATAAAAATACTCCCTGCCGTACTTGGAAAGACGCTTGAGGAACTTCGCCAGTTTAGGTTGTCTGAATCGTTCGCCTGCACTGTAGAGCTGCTTTGTTTTCGGATTGGTAAAAATATGCTTGCCTGCAACCAAATGACGGAATTATAGATTAAAATGGCTAACTTCTCTCACATTTTATATAGGTCTTGCGAAGTGATGGGAAGCATATTCGTCACAAGGGTTTTGAATTTGGAATGGGATGGACTCACATACATATGGCAGAGCACGCTGCTGAGTTATCCCCAGTTGTGTCATTTTTCTCTTAAATATTAACTTGGGAAGCGCGTTGAAAGATAAGATGTGCGCGGGAGAGGGGGATATAGGGACGTGGGGGGAAGGGGAGACACCTGAGGTACTCTTGCTTTAACATCAGCTTTTTGTTGGTGATGTTTCGTTTTGTTTTGGATTGCCCTTGAGAAATTTTTGTCTGCTCTCAAATCATTCCTTTTTACAACTTGACAAATTTGGCCTAGAGAGTCGAAAGAAGAAAACATGCTTATGCTTGACAACAGAGCAAAATGTGACCCAAACCAGATAGTCAACCTTTGCTCCATTTTCTCAACTACTTAGCGATGTCCTTTAACATGCGTTGTAGAGATAGTGTGTAAATTGTCCTTAACAGAATATGATAAATGCATGATTGAGGAACGCAATCTGGTACCTTCCTTGGTTCGCAGAAGGCTTCTTGGATTATAGTTCTTCTTAATGTTCTCCGCTAAGTGAGAAGGAAGTTTAAAACCCTTTTGAGAAAAGTACTTTGCAGGTTCCAAAAGCTTGGACAGTGGAAGCCTCCCATACTTCTCCGAAGCAGTAGACACGGCTGCTATGAATCCTGGGACTAGAACCGAGGCACCATTGCTGCGGTCCGAATGATGTTCAGGCATCTGAGCCAGGTCTACGTAGTAAGGTTTGTTCCAGCCCCCATCAATGTTGTAAGTGTCACCCGTTGAGCTGTCATGGTATAGAATGTTGGCTACACCGGCAAACGACACGTGAGAACCTGCCGCCAAGACGATCTCTGAAGAAAAAAAAAATAAAGGTGTCCTCGAATTAGCTCGAGTCATCCAGTCCCAGCTATACAGAGACAGGAGTGGGTCCTGACAGAGATGAAAAACCGTCTTACGTGTCAACTGGACTTACTACTGTGTACGAGTACATACGATCAAATCTAGCCCTTGGCAAAAAAAATAGGTGACTTACAGCCAAGTTTTGGAACATTAAGTCATTCGGGGATCACGTATAAGATTGCGCGACCTGCCAGCTCAGCTCAATGTCCTCAATGAGTTCTCGCTCTGCGAAGCGATCGAACAAAACAAATTGCGGAAATTCAAACAGTGTATTCTGTTGAAAAGGAAAAGTACTAAAAACGTATCTCAAGGGAAAAGTGTTATTGTCTATTTTAGTTTCTTTTTATTTAGTTTTTACCAAGTACTCTCAGCATCGCTAACATGTGTGCTTGAACTCGATACAAAGTAAAATCTCTTAAAGTTAAGAGCCTCTGAGTGCCTGAGTGTGCGTCGGTGAGTTTTGAAAATTAATTCCACTAACGTTTATCTTAGTTCCCTTTAAGTATAAATGATAAGGTGCGATTACAAAGTTTAATTGATCTTCCCTTATCATCGAAATTTGCCCCATCTAGACCTGGGGGGCACAACCAGCGTCAATCTACACAGCTTAATTAAATTCTGAGAGACGTGACTTTGAGTTTATAAGCATGGTACTATCTGTGACTTAGTTCGTCACTTGTCTTTAGTTCTGACCACGATCATCAGCGAGCCCTGTTGAGTAATCTTGGCTAAAATTGTTCAGGTTTTATACAAAAATCAAATAGTCCAAAGAAACACACACTTATTGTGTAAGTTACATAACAAAGTGCTTTTTCGATAAGGAAAGTATTTTAGTGATAAGGTGATTACTTTTTGAGGAGCGCATCCTTTCAGTCAGCTGGTCCACTCGAAAGGCACAAACTAAATACCGGATTATGGTCTTATCTATAGGACCTTATAGGAAATGGTGCAAAAGAACACTGCGATTTTTCAAGTGCTTAAAATCGTTTTTCTGGGATTTTAAGCGGCCGTCTTATATGAACTATTTTTCCATGCCACTGTAGAGAGCGGCAAGACGCGTTCAATAACAAATGATTATTTTCTTTTCTGGTAAAATTATTTTTGGCTTCCACTCAAAACATGAAAACAATTTAGACCGCACTCTGGGAAACTATTAATTGGTTCAATTTTAAGCCGAACGCATCCACTTGATGGATGTTGGACACCCTAAGCTGTCTCTTATCTCTGCTTTGCAGTCTATCCCCTATATCGGGACCCCACAGTAAAAAGAAATTCGCGAACTTTAATGATCCTCCGAGCAAGCAATTATTGTGTAAGAAAACAATGTTCAGCCTGTAAACTTTTGCCATTTTTAATCCACAAATCATCAGCAGTGAACATGAGAGAAATTTGTTTTCTCGATAACGAAGAAACGATGCGAACCTTCTCAGTATCTGCGTAAAACGGGGGAAGCTCCTTGGTGAGGTTGTATTTTGGCGAGTCGGACAACGATGAAGATGGTGTGCGTGAAAATACAACAGTTGTTTTTGAAACTCACAAGGCGAAGTAAAAAGCTTATAATAATTTTGTTATTTGTCGTGTCGAGTGCCTGATATGCACAACTGGATTTAAATTTTTTTTATAAAGCTTAGAAGTCACGTAAGAAACAAGGAGCATTTGGTCACATCTTCTTCTTTTGTTTTCAGGTAAGAGAACTGAAACTATACTTGGAAACTTTAACCCCGGCAGAGAACCGTATGAGCATCTTACATCCAGTCAGTATAAAGTCTCACTCTCATGGCCGCGTGCAAAAAATTGACAAAGACACTATAGTATTCATCTTCGGTTCGTACACTAGATGGCGCCATAAATATTGCAATTTACCATAATTTTGCTCCTCGGCTTTGGTGATTTTTTATATAGAATATCAATCAGGAAGATTGAACAATCATACATGACAAGAAACCGAGGAGCGAGAACGGTTGAGTTGAGACATTTGCAAAACTGAAAACTTTTGTAGTGCAATGCACATTAGTTGTACAAGGGATTCTCTCCCTCTCCTCCCCTCCACTACTGGATTTAAGCGGATACAGGGGCATGAAATACATGACAAGAAACCGAGGAGCGAAAACGGTTAAGTTCAGACATTTGCAGAACTGAAAACTTTTGCAGTGCAATGCACATTAGGTGTACAAGGGATTCTCTCCCTCCCCTCCCCTCTCCTCCACTATTGGATTTAAGCGGATACAGGGGCATAGAATAGTGTATGATCTGATTAACCCCACTTTTGGTCTAATGATATGTTATAGTGTCTCGAAAACGTTTTGGACTAGCTGTGGCGAGCAATGCTTTCCTTGTACATTCTTTATTCGGGCAACAAATAAAGAAAATTGACTTATGCAAAGGTTGTAGCTTGGCTAGGCCTCGATAAGGTCAACTGAGCAGCCTGGAATGCGTTCACATAGGATCACGTCTCAAAGATTCTGATAGAATTGATACTGAGCTAGAAGAGAGACACTCACAGATACCTAGTTAAAATAAAATCATAGGGCACACAGAGGCATACTGAGCAGCAGGGAACCCTGAAAAACAGTAACAGATACTCGCTAACACGAATCGCAGCTTATTGTTTTGCAAACTGGTTATTCAGATAAAGGGAAGATAATTTTTATCAAAAGATACACATTTGCTTATCGCTGGATTGCGACACCTAGCCGGACGTGCAGTTCTTGGTAAACTGAGTACAACGTGTATTTCACTTATTTATTTCTTCAATTTTTTTTCCAATCTAGAAAAAAACGAAGCTAAAATGTTCCAGAGCGTATTAAAAACATTTTGCAACTGCTCCGGAAAAACATCCACGAAGCGTACTGATTAGCGAACGATTTATTTATATATTTTTTCTTTTTTAAATTTGGTTTAGAAAGCCGAAACAGAAGTAATTCAGTTATAACTTTTTGCCCAGGTGAGTCACTTGAATACTTGCATTAAGTTTAATTTTCTTTTGTCAGTTTGAAATGTTAACAACTTGAAGACTTGTTATGCCATTTCCTTTTCTCCTATATATGGCCTATCTTATCTCAAAAATTAAGCAAATTTGACATCTCTAGTACATCTGTTTTGAGATAAAAAGAGAAATTATCTTTTTTAATGTTTAGAAATATTTTTTGTTTACGAAACTTAGTCAGCCGGTAACGGATTTATTCCAAGAGGGCGAGATATATCACAAGCTACGAAAAACAAACAGACAGCAATATAAATCTAGATAGAGTTGTATGACAATTAAAATGATAAAAACCAAGAACTGAATGAGTTCTTGGCGTACGTCACTAAATCTTAGATATTTTCGTGCACTCGCATTTTTAAAGTTAGACAATTTACAATTTGATTTAGAACACGAAAAACCGGACACAGACGCATTTGGGACTTAGTGTCCCGCCCCCGAAAAAGCAAAAAAACCTTCCGATCTTGTCAAAATAAACCACTTAAAAAGTGTCAACTAACTACGATCGGTGACACAAAAAGGGTGTACTGTCTTAAATATCTCAAAGTTTAAATCCTGGAGATCTTCATCGTTACTTGTAACCAGTTAGACTTTGTTAGACTAGGTTCCAAACTCGAAAAACCGTTGGCAGAAATCGTCTAGGACTAATTTATTCTACAGTCTGGTAGAGTTGAATTGAAATAACCTTTCGATCTTTTCAAAACGGTCCAGTTAAAAGCAGGATCAACTGACTAAGAACTGGGTTTGAAAAGGAAATGGTATCGTTAATACTCTAACGCCGAAATAAAAATCTTTAATCCTCTTCAGGTTACAGAGTGTATTAAAGACTGCATTGTCTCGTTTATTTGGTTTCTTAAGTCGGTGGCAGGAAACAGACTAACCGAGGTGCACTTGGCTTATTTTTTTACTCTAGTGATATAATTTAAATTAAGAAAGAGCTTATTGAACTGCTACGAAAAAATATTCAGGCAAGTAAAGTTTAACCCAGCCTACCTGTAAAAGCTGTTGTCAAGCACGCATCCATTGCGTTCCCGCCTTTTTTCAGCGTCTCTACCCCCGCGTGCACAGCAAGAGGGTTGCTTGTTCCCGCCACCAAGCCTTTGCCGTCGCTAAAGGCCAGAGGCTTAGGCCGACGTCTTTGAGAATGCTGGAGCGACAGAGCTTCTAGCCTTTCAAAATCTCTTGGAAACCATGTCTTAGGAGAGAATGAAACACTATCCGGTGGAAGAAGAGCTGCCACATTGAAAGTACATCCCAGAAAAAGAAGCCAAACAGAAGTTAGCTGAATCATAATCGACTTACTACACGCGCGGAACTCACAAGGATACTCTCGTAAACAAGTCAGTTGACAGAGTTGTTTGGTTTTATAGTCTTAAGTGGTAATTCAATAGCTGTTATTGATCCGCCGTGATAGAAACACAATACAACGGAATGTGACATTTGTCCGAGCGCGATATAAAGCCTTCCCGGATCTGCGCGCGCAAATCTTTTTGGCGAGCGACATACACGTGTAGCTTGTGACCTCATGACAAACGACGAGAGCCTTTGATCAGATTTCAGTTATGATGATTTGTTTAATAAACGCAAATAAACCGGAAGTGAGCAGCGAATCATATTGAGTGCTACAAATTTTTTGAATGTCAGACTCTGACACTTGGCAAATAATAACTTCAGCTCATTTTACATGTAGTGCTTGGTGCATGCTGTTTTGAAATTCCGTTTATTCACAGCGTTTCGGGACATGACAGGCGCTGTAAAAGAAATTACGAATCATGCCATTTAGCAGTAGCGTCTTTAGAGTCTGTTCTAACGAGATGAGATGAAAACAGAATTGAATGGTTTAACTTCGGCGGACAGAGCAAAAATGGATGACGAATCTCGCGAGCGAGCTAATGGTTTTCTGCCCGCGGGAGTCGCTCAAGTACCAAAAGAAGAATTACAAAGATATCTTAAATGTAAGCGTATCGGAAATTACCTGCTTGGAAAGACGATCGGGGAAGGATCGTTTGCGAGGGTAAAGCAAGGATTTCATGTTCTGACAGGAGAAAAGGTAAGATATATAACTAAGGACGGCTCCTTTGGCGACGCGAATATCCAGTGAATTATATTAGGTCGACTCGTGGTCATTCCCTTGCAACATTCGAACAGTACACAATGTTTTACCATCACTGAAGACTTCCCAGTCCTGTGGAAAGGAATGAGCTGTTTATGATTTGCCGAACTCAACGTTAATACAAGGTAAAAATAAAGCGTTATCTTGAACTAACCTTGGCAACAAAAATTTGTCACATAGCTGCCCGGCTTAGCGTTTGTCGCCAATTTAATTAGAGTGCAAGGTACGTGAAAATTATTATTAGCAGTCATTATTTCATTTGTGTTCATAGCCTATGATATGGCATGTTTCACGCAATGTTTTTTTGCTGTTTTAAGTCATTTTTGGAAATACGTTACACGTTACTCACGCACAAGTTACCAAAACGTATTGTCTGCAAATTTGCCCTCTTCCAGTGCAGTTTTCCAACTTACGTATTCGTGCGCATTACCCTGCTACATAAATTAAGAAATTAAGCCATTAAAAACGTATTATCACGCGAAAAACATCCAAATTTGTTCACAATTTTGATTTATAGTTCGCCATTTTATCAAACCAATATATCAGTCTGACATATTTCAGGGTGATTTTTCAACTTCCGTTTTTGACGAGTAGCTACTTAACCACGCTTTGAATATGCTTATAAAGCTAACCTTAAACCATTTTTCACGTCAGGATTTCTGCTGCTAGTTAAAGAAGCTTTGGGGAAAAAAAAAACATGCGAGTAGAGAGCAAACTGAATCACCGCTGTTGTAACAGAGGATTAGATAACTCCGTGGGTGATATTTTTAGTTGAGATTTTTGGCGCGCCAATCATGTTAGCCTGCCTTCGTTTATGTTATTCCAGTGGGTTTCTCTTTCAATAACAGAAAGCCATAAACTATGTACATAAAACTGTTTTATTTAAACAAAAGCATTTTACGGTGAAAGGCCTTAGATGGTGTTGACTTTTCTATTGAACAAAAGTACAATTTAATAATAATTGACTTGCATACTGTTCGTAATATTGGGTTTCTTCTTTTTAAAATTCCATAGGATTATTTCGCATACCTGAGTGTTTTAGCTTTCTCTTTTTGTTTTTGGGCGATTTCAGCGATATAAAATTCGCTATCAAATTAAATCAAAAACAGCGGAAAATTGTGCAACTGCGGAAGAGTTGTTCAGGATCTATATAATGATATTATTTCATTCCCTGTATTCTGTATTGGATGTGGTGGAATGAGGAAAATATCATTTCCGATCATTTCTGATCGTTGAGCAATTTATTTATCTGAGTGATCGCAACAACTTTGTTGCGTGTAGTGAGAACATGGCGATGCTTCGTAAAGATTATCTAATTCAAGCAACCCCATTGCAACATACTGGGCTATTGACAAGTGTTTATGTTCTTTTTAAAACATCGTAAATAAGAATAACCAAAAACGAAGAAAATATAGAAATATAATGGTAATCATATTAACAGTAATTTAAAACCCTAGGGGAAGTTTTAAGTAAGAAAATGTTCCAACTATTACAAGTTTAACACGTTTTAACTCTTCAAAAACTTTGACAGACCGACTGAATACTTGTTAGCACTGAAAGCTGAGTTCTACCGGGCCTTTCTGGAAGCTGTTTGATATTGCCCCTCTTTTTGTACTGTTCAAAGCGATAGATGATGATCAGTACTAAAAGTAAATTCAACAATGTTGTTCTTCTCAATAGCTTTTAGGCTTTATAAACGGCATACGAATTCTCTTAAGTACTCTAGGGCTTAGGAATTTACCGAGTTTCGTGCAGTTAGTAGAATGTAGTAGAATTATGTCAGTTATGGCTCTAACTCGCCTCGGTACTCAATTTATGTGATCATGTAGTGTATATATTGCGATATGCGGTTTCAAGCTGAGGTGGTGAGTATTGAAATGTTAGGATTCCACTCATTCTCAATACCATGGAGTACTGCAAATGTACGTGCACTTAATACACGTCCTCTGGGAGAAATTATATGAAAAAGTGTTGGAGGAACTTTTTTATGAGGACTTTCACGATCTTCTTCAGCAAAAGCGGAATAGGGCTTATTCTTCTTTTACTGCTTTTATTCGTCACCGCACCTTAGTTTTATAGTTGACCAGCAACCCATACCACCTGTGGTGACCAGCAAACTTATCTTTTTAACCCACGTGTAACCAATCCCCGCTTTATACCCGCATAACCCTATTCAGACCGGGGGAGTTTTGAGGTGCCCCCTCGCTATATATAAAGTTGAATAACTTCACAACCGTTCAAGCTAGGACCAAATTTTCCTAAAATTTATCTGGGAACATTTTAATGTCGTTGTGACGTGTAGGTCAATATTTATGTTACCATGGTAACCGAGTTTTGACAGCCATGATTTTCAAAATTTGCATTTTCTCCAAAAAGTATGTGTTATTTCTATTTTACTGATTGAATTATTAAATTAAACTTAATTTAACTTAATCATCAAAGTTATTGTAACTTTTAATGAAATCCAGGCTTGTTAGTGACTAGTTTGCGAAAAAACATGAGCTTAATATGACCAAAAGGCAGATGCTGAAATAAATTTTTAACAGTGTTCATTTCTCTCAAAATCTGACATTTTGCTAATTTCTTGCTTCCTAAGCATCCCTTAATTTATACCTCGATTTATACTAGTTTTAAGTAACATAGAATACATTTAAATAATTCAAAATGGCAGCAGAGTGTATCAACCTCGTCGTCAAGGATATTACTGAGGGTAATACAGGGTTGAAACTTAACAAAAATGAGCTAAAACGGCTTTTGGAGTTTGTTACCAAAGAAACTCACTTCCTATTCAAAGGTGCTTTCTACGACCACTTGGATGATGTAGCCATGGGCTCCCCCTTGTCCCTGTTCTCCCAATCTCTTATATCTTAAATTAATAAGAAACATCAACTGCATGGATCTACTCGGGAACAGCTAAGAATCGTTAGAAACAAAGATAGAAGTAATTTCCTGTAAATTTTCGGCCAAAAGTCAAGGTAAGGGTGAATCATGGTTGAAACATAAAACCATGCAATATCCTCATGTGTAAACACTGAGCTTTAACGTGTAGAAACCATGCAATCACAAATCACCTGTTTCACACTGAATTCGTGACAGGAGAAGTACCTGTTGAGCAAAGTGAGGTGACCAGGTTAACGGTACAAGAGCAGTGAAATAACAGAATTAAACAGCTAAAATAAATTGATCAGAATGACTAAACTGACTTGAAGCGATCGCCTCGAGTGGTTAAGGTAATCCTTTCTTTCACCATTTTCCTAAAAAAATACAAGGGGAATTAACTGGAACGCAAGTATCTTTTTCAAGTTAGGAGAGGTTTTGGAGTGATCAGCATCAGTTATTCTGAGAGAACTAAGCACTGCAAAGGGAGTGTCAACTTATTCTCCTCTGCAACAATTACCCGCAATTACCTATACTAAGATATGTTTCACTTGAAAAAAGACCCAAATACCAGATAAAGCTCTCGTTACAATTTCTCATTCAAAACAAATGTACTTCGAGCAAAATTTATCGCCAGTCTCTTGTAGCTCAGTGGTAGGGAATCTGGACTACAGTGGAGGTCAAAAGTGTTGGGAACTTTCCGGTGATATTAGTAAAACTAGCGACCCCTCCCCTGCCCTCCCACTCCAAACAAAGTTGATTTTCGAGGACGATGGGTGGAAATGAGTACTTTTTTGGCCACAACATTGCTGGGGGAGTGGGGGTACGACGGGATGAAGCCAAAGTAGATCAAAAAATTGTCACTAGGAGCAGAGGCTATCTAACAGGCTTTTTCACACAATCCCAAGTTCTTTGATCCCCCATTCATACAATTCCTATATTTTATGATACGGACACCTTTTTTATGAAACGTGAAACAGATGCTATAAACCCCAAGCTTCATAAATTTCTACTACTCTGATAATACTGACATCTCTATAATGCTGACACTCCATTGTGTCACTTTGATGTCCTCAAGGATGTGTGATGGGGCCGGGCCGGCGCGTAGTGTCCTTCCTAGATGGGGGCATTCGGTAGAGGCCTTATAGGTAGAGAAACGGGCATAAGAAGGGCTAAGCTTTGTTTAAGGCAGTACGTTGCCTGTGGATAACTCTTTCCCGCGTGTTTCGTAGGTGGCTGTAAAGATCATAGATAAGAAGCAAGCGCACCAAGATAAGTACGTGGCTCGAAATATGCGTCGAGAGGCGAAAATTATGCAGATGATTCGACATCCCAATATTGTTCAGCTGCTTGAAGTAGTGGAAACAGAACACAGGTTAGTAATTTTGTAACCAGAAAGGTAAATTTCATATTAAGGAAGATATGTCGTTTCGGTTGGTTACTATTATTTATTTTACTGTTTTGTCACTCACTCACTCACCCACACATCTTTGTTTTCGACAAAATATTCGATCAGCATTCTTCTGCTAGAGTTTTCGGCCAGTCAGCCCCTGTTCCCAGGTCCCCCCGCCCGGCACATGCGTGCATGGGCATTCAGGAGGTTGATTTGCGTTACCAGGCAACTACCGAAAAAACGCCATGGACTATACATGAAGTTGTAATAACCGTTACGGAATATGATAAATATCTTATTTGTGAGTCTAATTTTAGCCGATGCCAGAATGAAGGCTTCGCCGCCAAAACTCTCATACGCGCAAAAGCAATTCCGCAAGGTAGGCAGTACATTTAGTACCCAGTTTGAGACGCTGTTGTTGCCTCAGGAGCTACTTTAAAGATAAAATAGAAAAGAGACGGCGTGTTAATGAAGAAGTGTGCCGGGCGCTTCCATATCCTGACACGCTGCTTGGAGATTAATTATTCATTCAGCCTTAGCTTATCTACTCTTAAGTGTTAGCTTGACTGGTTCGAGCTACAACAAGTTCATAGCCTGTGAGCAGGCTCGCTTGTGCTTTTGTTTGAAGAGAATTTTAACGTCAGAGCAACCAGCGCGGGAGGAAAAGTCTTCTATTCTTCTCGCCGGCTTTAATTGCTGGCTCTGCACCCTCAAGGGTTAGCTTGACTGGTTTGAGCTACAACCGGTGCATATCCTGTGAGCAGGCTCGCTTGTGCTTTTGTTTGAGCAAACTTTTAACCGAACTCGCACAAGTGAGCCTGCCCGAAGGCTTGCCTGTGCATTAAGGTACTGTGTATATCGCTCCAATGTACAGGTATTACCTGATCACAGAGTTAGCAGCTGGGGGAGATCTTATGGATTACATCTGTTACCGCAGAAAGCTTGGTGAGGTGGAGGTTAGAAAGTTCATTCGACAAACTGTTTCTGCAGTGCGTTATCTTCATCAGGGAGGGATACTTCACAGGTAAGATAGAAAGACGTGTAAAACGTCTCTGTAATAGCATTTCCATGGATAGTGATAAACAACATGACAAACAAATATTGGAAACCTTCCCAACTGGCGGTAGGAAAGCCAGTTGGCCATTAACAGCATGGTCTAGGAATCGGAATTATATCGAGAAACCAATCCAGGCTGTGGTCTTTGAACGCGCCTTGAATTGAACTCAGACCTACCAATTCCAAAATCAGAGAGCTGACTAGGACACAAAGAGAATCGAGAAAAACTGCTAGGGTCAAACGTCTCTTATCAGTTTGTTGGAAGTTGCACTTTTCCATGAAAACATGTTGCCAAGAAAAAATTGATAAGGGCAGGTGGGATGGTAAGCCCGATTTCTAACTGTTGACTGGGTCCGGTTTCTGTCCGCCTTGCCTAAGATCCATCCGTAGTGCGCGAGAAAGAGCGCAGGCGCAGAAAACGACTGGTAATATGGGTATTAAGGGTAATGGAAATGTTTGTCCCGATTTCGAATCACGAGGGGTGAGCATTTTCTGTTTGATTGGGGAATGACGACGACGACAACTGGTAACTAATAGCTACTCACGCTTACGGACGTTCCCACGAAGTCTCTGGCAAGGAAACAAGTCAGAAACGGATCAAGCAGTGAGCCGGTTAACATACGCGAACTCGCCGGCAAGCTAACACGTAGCTGCAAAAACTTTGGGGAAATAATGTAACACAGGTTGTAGGTTGTAATTTTAAATTTTTTGTTCTTCAGGGACTTGAAAGTTGAAAATTTGCTCCTGGACGACGACTACAACATCAAAATTATAGGTAATTCTTAAGGTATTTGGTTGTATTTAGAACTGCGCACAATAAATTAAAACAAAAAATGGCCAGACGGCGGAGGAATGTGGTTCAGTTTCCTGGATACCAGAGGCGCGAAAAATTAGAATGAGTGAACTACCTCTTGCCTTTCCTTCCTGAAAGATAATAGTGAATGTTCCTTTGCTGTGGCTGCTCCGACGGTTTAAACTAAAAATCGGTACTTCTCTTGCCAAGTTTAAAACAGCTTTTAGAACGTTACTGTTCAGGAGGGCTCACAGTGGGCTCGCAGAGGGCTGTTCACAGAGTGCTCACATGATTTTCCCCCTTATTTTCTCTTCCTTTACTACTATTGGCCTTTCCCCCGGGCTTCGCGCCCTTTGGCGAAACACGTAGAGGATTGAATGCCAGTGCTCGATTGGTTTACTGTGCACCTAAGTATTGTCACGTTACTCCTTTGCTAAGAGAACTCCACTGGCTACCAGTGCGCTTGCGCGTAGATTTTAAGATTCTCCTTGTTACATTTAAGATTCTTCACGGTGTTGCGCCTAGCTATCTTAAGGATCTTGTCTCTGTCTTACCGGTCTCACGTTACCAACTACGCCGTAACAATAATGGTATATTGTTAGAAAGAACGAAGAAGACTTTGGGAGATCGCGCGTTATCGATGGCTGCCCCCTTTTTATGGAACAGTCTTCCTCTGCCAATTAGACAGGAAACATCAATCGACTCTTTTAAACGCTCTGTTAAAACATATTTATTTAAAAAGGCTTTTAGTTAGATTATTTATTTATTTATTTTTTATTTTTATTATTTTTATTTTTTTAATATTGTAATGTTAATATTGTAATATTGTAATTTTACCGCGTAATTTTACTGGTTTTAATTTAGTTATTAATAATATTGTAATGCGCTTTTGTATATTTTTATAGAAAAAGCGCAATATAAGTATTAAATATTATTATTATTATTATTATTGTCTAGTATAGATGTTGTAAGTCCAATACTCGTTATCAATATACGAAATAGGTTTCATAACTTGTATTAATATTATCTAATAGATTTTGGTCTCAGTAACACGATGTTCGCCCAATTGTCTGATGGTCATTCTACTCGGGAATTTCTCAAGACTCAATGTGGTTCACCAGCATACGCTGCTCCAGAAATCTTGGGTCACAAACCTTACGGACCTGAAGTGGACGTATGGAGTATGTACGTGAACGATTCCTCGCTGTTGATTTTCTTTTACTTTGTTGTTAAGCATCTGGTATCACCCCAGATTATGCAGGGGTGTAGTACCATCATCACAACGTTGCCAAAGTATCGAGATAAGTCAGTTGAAAGTCCTCGGAAGCACTACGTGATCTTTGATTACCGTGATTTCTGCGATTTCTACGACTTGTACGAGTTTTTCCTGCCAGGGAAAGTAATAACTCTATGCTTGTCCACCCTTGGAGATTTCCCGGCGATTAGTCGCAACTTGGTAAAAAAAAACAAACATCGTTAAAAGTAGAAGTCTTGACTTGATCTGTTGAATATGTTTATTTTTTCATCATCATTTGAGCATTTCTTGGGTCATGTTGCCAGGTCGATCAAAAAACTTTCTAATATGTTCAATAGAAAGAGTGGAAGCACTGCGCTTGAGCGCGGTCAAAGTTGAAAAAGTTGTCAAAAAGCTTCAATGCAGTAAAGGAAACGTTGAGATGATTTTGATAGAAGATTCTAAACTCATTTAAACTAAGGTTGCAGTGCAGACGCTTTTTTGGAGAGGGGAAGGGATGGGCCAGCACTAGAATTTGTTCGCAGGTCGCGATGAACGAATCATAGAAGACCGGTAAAAGGGGAGGGGACGGGATAGACGGGACACATTTTCCACCCCTCTTCTCCTCCCCCTCGCCGAAACTTGACCTTTTTTTTTCCTTAATCCCACCCCACTGATTGATCGCACTTACTACTGGTAAATACAAAATAAGATCGACCTTAGGGAGGTTTGTGATCCCGCGAGACTGAGCAACCCCCACAAACCCTTGTTTTCACTAAAACCGCTGGACACAAAACCTCCTCTGGGTCGATGTTACATTGTCACAACCCTTACTTCTCAGCCCAATCAGCTTTCAATTTAAACATGGCGACTGCAGGAAAGAAGAGGGGCTCGCTGGTCTTCGAAGAAAAGCCGGGATATAATTTATCAACAAATTCTATATTTTCCTGTTTTCTTTTTCAGAGGAGTAAACATGTTTGCGATGCTGACAGGAAAGTTACCATACACAGCCGAGCCCTTCCACATCACTACACTTTACAACAAAATGAAGACAAACGACATGAATCCCATTCCTGATCATCTGTCAGCTTGTAAGTTCTTTTGGCTTAATAAGAAAGAGCAGCAGTGTTTCCCCAAGTTGAAGAAACCTTTTCGATAATTGAAAGGGTTTTTTGGACAAAAGTATATGCCACAATTCCAACTGAAAGTCATAAGCATTGCTTAAGTAAATAGAGTGATTTTCATATGACCTTGAAATGAAAACACGCGAACAAAACAGAAGCAACAAACGAACGACAATAGAGCGATTTGATTGGTTTATCGAAAGGGTACAAAAGAGCGTGGCTTTTGGTTGGTTAAGCGAAAGCTTGCGTGAAAATATTTCATGCCCGAGAACTTTCCAGAATTCAACCGATACTTCGCTTTGACGTCATACCGCAACACGATTGGCCAATCGAACAATGCCTTCTCCACATTAGGGATTCTTTGGCGGGAAAACAAAGAGTCCATGTTTTGATCTTTTCATCCATTGGCTGATAAAACAAATAACGAACACTTACCAAAACCATATTTCAAGGTCATACGAAAATCGCTCCATGATCAACAAGCAAGAGAGACTAATGAGACAGAGACGAAATCTTAGGGCGTTGGCAAGGATTTTACTAAAGTTATTTTTAGAGTTTGTACTTACACGGATGTCTTATTCCTGGGACGTCCGCGCATTTTAATCGATTGTTTGAAACGTCATCAAGCTCAGAAGCGACTGCCTGAAGGTAATTAATGCAGAATATTGTAACGGTGAGACACCAAGAGAGTTTGCGGATCTTTCCGGATACCATCTTCCGATTAATTTCAAGTGTTTAATTGCTAAAAATAACTTTGGTGAAATTCGCATATCCCAAGGGCCAGACTGTCCAATTATTCTCTCTTGCAAGAAGTTAATGCTTTTATTAAAGTCGTAACTGAGTCGTCGCTCACGAGAACTTAAAAAGAAAGGAAAAGGCCTGCTCATTATTTCACAGTAGTGGTCGACTTCGGGAACAGTTGCTTACAAGTGCTCTTAAGTACAAAGACAAAGTTCCAACAAGCTATCACAATGCTGATCGTAACAAGAGCCGGTGTTGCCCGCGAGAGTGGTCTCGCAAGGAGAACATCGACCATATCATTATTACTTTCTTTAACTCTGATATTACTATTTTTTTAATAGCATGTAAGGACCTTATTCGGCGTTTTCTCACCTTTAACCGCGAGCAAAGGATCACGCTGGTTGAGGCGCTTAATCATGAATGGCTTCGCAAGGGGTTTGATGGTCCCGTTAAGCCAGTTGTCTTCCCGAACTACCCGCGGGAGGAGGAAATGGACAAGAACATCCTCAGGCACATGACAGAGAAAATGGACTTTAATCAGAAGGAAGTCATTGACGCTGTGACGCTAAACAGGTATATCAGGGGCTTGATATTGTGTCGTAATAGTGCGTGAGTATCTCTTGAATTCGGGATATTCACTCGGTATCACCGTTGATCGTTAACAGGTTTTACTCGACGAAGGTATTATTCCGTAAATCCCCTTTCCTCTGGTAGGTGTAATAAGGTATTCAAAAGAAGCTCTTTGTCTACGCCAGAAACGTATGAGCTGAAAGCGCGGTTTCGCCCAGTATATAAACGAATTTGATCTCTCTTAAAGATTTCTAAAAAGGGCTGTATTCGCATGCAAGGCCAAATTAAAAACAAAAATATACAAGCGATTATAAGCCTCCCTGGATATGAGTCCCCCTCTAGCTTACATTGAAATGAATTCGATTTATTATGAAGTTTTGAAGCATAATTAAAAACCAGAAAAAATCAGTAAATGCAAAACGTATTTTGATCAGCACTACTTTAGCTTGATTGAAGCGTTTTTTTCTATTCGGGTTATAAGCCCCCCTGGGATATAAGCCTCTCCGTTTATAAGCCCTTCTAAAACTCCTTATGAGGATGTATAAACCCCCTCGGATATAAGTCCCTCCGTTTGTGAGCCCTCCTAAAACCCCTTACAAAGATGTGTAAACCCCCTCGGATATAAGCCTCTCCGTTTATAAGCCCTCCTAAAACCCCTTACTAAGATGTGTAAACCCCCCTGGGATATAAGCCCCTCTGCTTATAAGCTCTCTTAAAACCCCTTACGGAGATGTATAAAATAACCCACCCCCCCCGGATATAAACCCCTTCGTTTATAAGCTCTCCTAAAACCCCTTACGAAGATATATAAACCCCCTGGGATATAAGCCCCTACGTTTATAAGCTCTCCTAAAACCCCTTACGAAGATGTGTAAACCCCCTCGGATATTAACCCCTTCGTTTATAAACCCTCCTAAAACCCCTTGCGAGGATGTGTAAGCCCAGGGATTATAAGCGGACGCTTAAGGAATGCACTTTATTTTTTTCATTTACACCCTGTTTTCACCCTTGTTAGCCCATCCTGATAATAAAGATTGCATACAACAGCCATGTGTTTTGTTTCTGTCCTCATTGCAGGTCTACCCCAACAGCAACAGTATACCATCTTCTGCAGAGGAAACTGAAAAAATACTACATAAGACACCCAGAAAAAGTTAAACTGATGGCTAACGCTGAAATAACCTCAGCAAACTNTAAGCCCCTCTGCTTATAAGCTCTCTTAAAACCCCTTACGGAGATGTATAAAATAACCCACCCCCCCCGGATATAAACCCCTTCGTTTATAAGCTCTCCTAAAACCCCTTACGAAGATATATAAACCCCCTGGGATATAAGCCCCTACGTTTATAAGCTCTCCTAAAACCCCTTACGAAGATGTGTAAACCCCCTCGGATATTAACCCCTTCGTTTATAAACCCTCCTAAAACCCCTTGCGAGGATGTGTAAGCCCAGGGATTATAAGCGGACGCTTAAGGAATGCACTTTATTTTTTTCATTTACACCCTGTTTTCACCCTTGTTAGCCCATCCTGATAATAAAGATTGCATACAACAGCCATGTGTTTTGTTTCTGTCCTCATTGCAGGTCTACCCCAACAGCAACAGTATACCATCTTCTGCAGAGGAAACTGAAAAAATACTACATAAGACACCCAGAAAAAGTTAAACTGATGGCTAACGCTGAAATAACCTCAGCAAACTCCGAGTCAGTTATATCTAAGGATTCCTGTGGAACTCCACAAGAAAAGGAAAATAAAAATATAGTAAAAAAGAGGCATGAATGTACTGTAGCTACAGCGGTGGTTTGTGATTTTAACGCTAACGAAGAAAAAACACAAAACGGACACAAAAAATCGGACTCTACGAAGTTAGGCGTTCTACTGAACCGCAATCGCCTATCCTCTGCGAGTTCAGAAAATCTGTCAGCACCAAACGAAAAACTTCCAGAAGGCAAAAACGGATCAATGGGTGATGCTGACTCCGCCAAACTTGAAAACGAGACAGAACACCCTGACAAGCCAGAAACTTGTAACATTTTCAGCAATGCGGGAATTGAAATATCCAGAAAGGACTCTTGTAATTATTCGTCTGTTGAGGTCATGGCGGTCAAAGGTCGTAGCCTGTCACTGAACTTGTCGCATATTTCGGTCGAAAGCAAAGCGACTGGAGACGAACTGAAAGACGCTTCAGCCGTGAAGTTAAATGAACGCGGTGGACGAGAAAATGAAGAAAATGGAAAGAAGGATAAGACGGGATCTCCTCGATTTTCAGAGGCAATGCCCGCTCTAACCAAGGACAACAGAACACAAAAATCACCAAGAAATGCAGTTCCTAGTACACCATCTAAAGTCGGCAAAGTTTCTGTCTTTAATTCCAAGGTTATTTCGATTCCACTGCAGCATAAAAAACAGGATTCGGCAGCAGAGAAGGTAGTTACATATAGAATAATCTTCTAGCAGTCCCTCGGGATGATATCTGGGGCGAACATGTTATGTGTGAGCAAGAGAGGCAAACGCGCGTATCATGCTCGATCGTCCGCGTCACAGGAGCCTATATACAGATAAAACAACCTACAATAATGGTCAAAAGTCCTTGGGACAGTACTGCAGTATTCATATTTTTCTGTCATTTCTCGGTTCCCTCGTAAAACAGTGCATCCTTTTCGAAATTCTCTAACTTACAGTTCTCCCTCCCCCCACCCTATACAAAGTTGAAGCTCGGAAAAAATTCTGGATACACGTGTCCAACATTGTTTGTGGGGTGAGGGGAGGGGTTGGACCTGTGTGAATTGGAAAACGCCCCAGCAACGCAAAAGTGTCCCAAGACGTTTGTCTATGATTGTAGCTTATGATTTGCTCCACTGGGAGCGGTTTAACTTTTAATATTCTGTGATGGACTACGCTGAACTGTTCACAAATGCAAATTACTGTCCTGCAGTTGCCAACGGAAGAAAATCTATTCTTAGTAGTGAACAAGGTCAAACCACACAAACAGGTGAAGAACACAAGAAAAGCTTACCGTCCAGAGCAACGGGTCTATTGGAAGGCCCCTAGCATGGTGGTGCTTTCACTCGAGTTTGGGCCTGAACCCCTACCCTTTACCCCCGCCCCCCCTCCCCTCCCCTGCTGAAACATGTTGGTATCCAACCATTTGTAGTGGTAAGCGGGCTGCAAGTGACAGTTAGCCTTAATTATGGTTACTCTTCGTCATTCATCACAGACTCAAAAGCTGGAACCATCTTAGATCAGAAGCCCAGTTAGATAACCACTCAGACTTACTTTTCGATAGTTTTCATTTAAAAGCGCGCACCTTAATTGTTAGAATTTTATCTGCCCAACTATAAATAAGAACCACTACGATAACCCTAGTCGCCAGAGACTTTTCACGCGTGGTCTCCGGTCTCAATCAAGAGGCCCTTACCATGAACCGCAGGAGAAGCTCAAAGTTTAACGAGAACAGTAAATGGCATCGCTCTGTATCAGAGGTTTTTTTTCTCGCGGCTTCCCCGCTCGTGGTTTCGGCCTGCGACCGAGACCGAAAAATCGTGCTGCACGCGAGAAAAAAATCTCTTGTACCCAGGGTAAAAAACCATCCTACAAAACATAAATTAAACTGCAACCAGCAGAGGAAGTAAAGGTAAGCTATCGGGTGAATAGGTTTTTTCGCTCTACATGTCTTTAATTAAACTGTGAAGAATCGACAACTTATTCACATTTTTTTTTTATCTTTACAGGCTAAGTTAAGCCCCAGAAGGTTTTCACTTCCGCAAACCTTCTTTCCCCCCAGGAACCTCGGAACTAGCCAGCAAGGACATCCCGTCACTAATCCCTTCAGTTTTTTATCGTCGTCATCTTCTACGGAAACAAAACGAAAGAACAGACACTCGCTACCGCCTTACGGTTTGTGCTGCCAGTTAACGGCCATTAAGGCGCAGGACGAAGAGAACATAGGAGACGTGTCACGTGATAAAGAAGACAAATCACTTACTGATCACGTGGCTCAGTGCAATGGACTTGATGCTAAGCCTGGGCTCTCGGGAAAAAAATTTCGTTGCTCACCTAAATCTAGCGAGAAAAGTAAACAGCGAAGGAAAAAGTATATATTGCGATATGCGGTTTCAAGCTGAGGTGGTGAGTATTGAAATGTTAGGATTCCACTCATTCTCAATACCATGGAGTACTGCAAATGTACGTGCACTTAATATACGTCCTCTGGGACAAATTATATGAAAAAGTGTTGGAGGAACTTTTTTATGAGGACTTTCACGATCTTCTTCAGCAAAAGCGGAATAGGGCTTATTCTTCTTTTACTGCTTTTATTCGTCACGAAGTTAACGTGAATTTTCTCTCTCACTATCGACGCCACACCTTAGTTTTATAGTTGACCAGCAACCCATACTACCTGAAGTGACCAGCAAACGTATCTTTTTAACCCAAGTGTAATCAAACCCCGCTTTACCGTCGCCCGCATAATCCTATTCAGATCGGGGGAGTTTTGAGGTGCCCCCTCGTTATAAAGTTGAACAACTTCAAAACCGTTCGAGCCAGGGCCAAATTTTCCTAAAATTTATCTGGGAACATTTTAATGTCGTTGTGACGTGTAGGTCAATATTGATGTTACCATGGTAACCGAGTTTTGACAGCCATGATTTTCGAAATTTGCATTTTCTCTAAAAAGTATGTGTTATTTGTATTTTACTGATTGAATTATTACATTAAACTTAATTTAGCTTTAATCATCAAAGTTATTAACTTTGATATCTTTTAATGAACTCTAGGCTTGTTAGTGACTAGTTTGCGAAAAAACATGAGCTTAATATGACCAAAAGGCAGATGCTGAAATAAATTTTTAACAGTGTTAATTTCTCTCACAATTTGACATTTTGCTGATTTTTTGCTTCCTAAGCATCCCTTAGTTTATACCTCGATTTATACTAGTTTTAAGTAACACAATACATTTGAATAATTCAAAATGGCAGCAAAGTGTATCAACCTCGCCGTCAAGTATATTACTAAGGGTAATCCAGGGTTGAAACTTAACAAAAATGAGTTAAAACGGCTTTTTGAATTTGCTACTAAAGAAACTCACTTCCTATTCAAAGATGCTTTCTACGACCAGGTGGATGGTGTAGCCATAGGCTCCCCCTTGTCCCTGTTCTCACCAATCTCTTATATCTTAAATGAATAAAAAACATCAACTGCATGGATCTACTCGGGAACAGCTAAGAATCGTTAGAAACAAAGATAGAAGTAAATGCCTGTAAATTTTCGGCCAAAAGTCAAGGTAAGGGTGAATCATGGTTGAAACATAAAACCATGCAATATCCTCATGTCTAAACACTGAGCTTTAACGTGTAGAAACCATGCAATCACAAATCACCTGTTTCACACTGAATTCGTGACAGGAGAAGTAACTGTTGAGCAAAGTGAGGTGACCAGGTTAACGGTACAAGAGCAGTGAAATAATAAAATTAAACAGCTAAAATAAATTGATCAGAATGACTAAACTAACTTGAAGCGATCGCCTCGAGTGGTTAAGGTAATCCTTTCTTTCACCATTTTCCTAAAAAAAATACAAGGGGAATGAAGTGGAACGCAAGTATCTTTTTCAAGTCAGGAGAGGTTTTGGAGTGATCAGCATCAGTTATTCTGAGAGAACTAAGCACTGCAAAGGGAGTGTCAACTTATTCTCCTCTGCAACAATTACCCGCAATTACCTATACTAAGATGTGTTTCACTTGAAAAAAGACCCAAATACCAGATAAAGCTTTCGTTACAATTTCTCATTCAAAACAAATGTACTTCGAGCAAAATTTATCTCGAGTCGCCTGTAGCTCAGTGGTAGGGATTCTGGACTACAGTGGAGGTCAAAAGTGTTGGGACCTTTCCGGTGATATTAGTAAAAATAGCGACCCCTCCCCTCCCCTCCCACTCCAAACAAAGTTGAATTTCGAGCACCATGGGTGGAAATGAGTGCTTTTTTGGCCACGACATCGCTTGAGGGAGTGGGGGGACGACGGCATGAGCCCAAAGTACATAGAAAAATTGTCATTAGGAGCAGAGGCTATCTAACAGGCTTTTTCACACAGTCCCAAGTTCTTTTGTCCCCCATTCATACAATTCCTGTATTTTATGATACGGACACCTTTTTTATGAAACGTGAAACAGATCCTATAAACCCCAAGCTTCATAAATTTCTACCACTCTGATGATACTGACATCTCTATAATGCTGACACTCCTTTCTCGCCCCTTCCCTCTCCCCCCCCCCCCCCCCCCCCCAACCCCCTGTGGCATTTTCAAAAAAAAAAACCCCCCACCACCGCACAGAGGGGGGTTTCTTAAAGAACGCCGGCGAAAACAAGGGGAAAAAGACAACGACACCACCCCTGTCTGTTGGTTTCTCTCTTCCAAACAGTGGGCGTTGTTAGC